ACAGAGTAGGCCCTTCACACACACACACAGAGTAGGACCATTACCCAAACCGAGAGAGTAGGCCCTTCACACACACACACAGAGTAGGCCCTTCATCCACACACACGGAGTAGGCCCTTCACACACACACACGGAGTAGGCCCTTCACACACACACACGGAGTAGGCCCTTCTCCCACACACACAGAGTAGGCCCTCACCCACATAGAGTAGTCCTTTCAAATACAAAGGCAGATTAGGTCCTTTACACGCATGCACAGAATAGGCCCTCACCCACACACACACATTAGGCCTTTCAAACACAAAGGGAGAGTAGACCTTTCACATGCACACAGATTGTACACACTGTACCCACACACACAGAGTAGGCATTTCAAACACAAAGAGAGAGTACGCCTTTCACACACCCATACAGATAGGCCCTTCACACACACACATTTTGGCTTCTTCACACACACAGTAGGTTTTTAACACACACAGCATAGTTCTTAAAAACACAAAGTCTTAGTAGGCTCTTCATACACTCACACACAGTCAGCCCTTCATACACACACAGAGGAGGCATTTCACACACACACATACACAGTAGGTTCTTAACACACACAGAGTAATCTCTTCACACACACACACACACACAGGCCCTTCACACACACATAATGAAGGCCTTTACACACACAGAATAGGCCTTTCACACACAGCATAGGCCCTTCACACACACACACACACACACATAAAGAGTAGGTCCTTCACACACACAAAGTAGGTCTTTCACACACACAGTGTAGACCCTTCACACACACACACCCAGAAAGTAGGACCTTTACCCACCCACACAGAGTAGGCCCTTCACACACACACACATATAGTAAGCCCTTCACATACACACACATAGTAGTCCCTTTACACACACACAGAGTAGGCCCTTCACATACACACAACGCTGATCCTTCACACACCTACACACAACAGATAGGCCCTTCACGCACACAGACACACACACTCACAGACACACACATGCACACAAACATAGGAGGCTCGCCATGCCCATGAGTTCCCCATCTTCCAGCCAGGAATGGATAGGTCAGAGAGCAGTGGCCTCCGCGTGCACACAGGGACTGGTCTCGGTGGTTGTTCTATGCCCGACACACTGAGCCGTGGTTGCAGAGTGTTATCAGTCACCTAGACAGA